TAATAACATTGTCTAATTTTAATTCTTTAGATGTTTCATCTAGAAACCTTACACAACCATAAAAATTATCAACTGATGTAACTTTTTTTGCTCCACGTGAAGCAAATTCTAATGATATACTTCCAATACCTGAAAATAAATCTAGTACAGAAATTTCATCAAAATACCATTCGTTATTCAAAATATTAAATAATGCTTCTTTAGCAAAATCTGTTGTAGGCCGCACCGGTAAATTGTTAGGTGCTGTAATTCTTTTTCCTTTTAATGTTCCTGAAATAATTCGCATTCGAATAATTTATATAATGTGAAATATTTACCAAGCTGCTCATCATCTTTATTGAAATCAATATTTTTAATATATTTTTTTAACATATCAATATAGTCGTTAAACTCTATATCTAATACATCTCCAAAAATAAATAATGATACAGTATTTGGATTAATATTTAATTGATTTAATGTGTATAAAATATAAAACAGAAAATCTTCTTTCGTTTTAATTTCAAATAAATTATAAAAAATAAATTCTCCATTACTTAAAACACAAATCTCTAATTTTTGATGAACTAAATTCACATATATTTCATCATCTTTTGAATTTATTTTAGCATAATCAATCAAAAATTTACCTGAATGATATAAACGAGCATTTTGCAAATTTTTTAAAGATAATAAAACATCTTTCAAAGGATAATGAATATTATATACTATTGAAGCTTCAATACTTTGCAATGGACAATCTATAGCAAGTTGAACAGGATGATACATCGACATTGAAAGTAAATCTTCTAATGGATGATGAAGAAATTGATTTGGTACAACATTTATTGCTGTAGATAAAAAACAAAAATGTACGAAATCATATTCTTGTAACAAGGTTAAATTAGATCGTAATTCATGCTCAATCTCAACTTCGGTTTTATTCAAGTTTGTAAAATCAACCGAATAATCAAATACATCCGAATAGGAAATTTTTTCTCCATCGGTTTTCTTTGTTATATAACTAAGCTTGTCATGCGATAATAAAATTGCTAACGAACTAATGGTTGTTTTAGACATACATGTATTTTATCCTTGAATTTTTAACTCACTGATTAATATATAAATCAATCCTAATGATATCAAAAGTAATAAAAATTTATAAGCAATCTTCATATAGAAAATTTATTTCGGTAAAGATATCATTGTATTTATGGATTAAAAACACATTTAAGTTCAATGTATTCTATTTTTACCGAAATTTGAAAATAAAAAAGACGTGAAAAAAATAGCTGTTATTCCTGCAAGATATTCTGCTACTCGATTCCCTGGTAAGTTAATGCAACAATTAGGAGATAAAACTGTTATTCGAATGACTTATGATAATGTAGTTGCTACAAATCTATTTGATGATGTTTTTGTTGTTACTGATTCGGATATTATTTATAACGAAATAGTATCAAATAATGGAAAAGCAATTATGAGTATTAAAAATCATGAAACTGGTAGTGATAGAATTGCTGAAGCAATAGAAAATATTGACTGTGATATTATTTTGAATGTACAAGGAGACGAACCATTTGTAAACTATAAAGCTTTATCTGATATTCTTTCTTCATTTGATGGTGAAATCGGAAAAACTGTAGATGTTGCAACCTTAAAAGAATCTATTATTAAAGACGAAGATATTAACAATTCTAACTTTGTAAAAGTTGTAACAGATTATAATGATTTTGCTTTATATTTTTCTCGTTCCCCTATTCCATTCTCTCGAGAAATTAATTTTAGCCCAAAATATTTTCGTCATATTGGTATATATGCTTTTAGAAAAGATGCTTTATTACGTTTTTCAAAATTAAGCATGCGTCAAAATGAAACTGCTGAAAAACTAGAACAATTAAGGTATTTAGAATATGGAATGAAAATAAAAGTAATCGAAACGGAATCTATTGGGAT